AAGGACTCTCACCTTTTTGATGAAGATTATTATTATTTTTTTCATCTTTTTTTTTTCTAATTTTTGTTCTAATTTTATGGCTTGCTAAAAGCCCAACTAAAGGTAGGGGAGATACTTTCAATAACGCACGGTATTATCTTTGATTCAATGTTCGTTTTAATGCATGATTTATTTTTTTATTTTAACTCTTATCTTTTAGTAAAGTTTTTACTTTTTATAATTTCTTGATTTGTTATACTATGTACATCGAATGCTTGAAATTCTCTGCGAGTCAAATAACTGATTATTCAATACTTGAATTAATTAATTATTATTTATAATAAAATNGAGTCAAATAACTAATTATTCAATACTTGAATTAATTAATTATTATTTATAATAAAATAAAGTTTACCTGTTAGAAAACTTAATTTATCACAGACTCTGGGTATGGTGAATGCTTGTGATCTACAATTAAATTCTTATATTATTCAGATAATTCATTAATTATAACTTTTGATGTTTTTATATTATCACCACTAAATTTTTCGTTTGGGATCATTCCTCAGTTGATTCTCAATTGTGTTCAAAAACTGGTTCATTAATAATTGTCATGTGGATTTGAAAGGGTATTTCTAATACTTTAATATTTTCAATTATGATCTTAAATCCAAATTTATTATTTTTTAATTTCAAAATCTCTACAATAATTTTTTATTTCTTTGTGTTCTAAGTTTTCACAATTTCCCGTTGTTTAACCTTGAACTTCTGAGTATTATATTATTTCACATAACCAGTATTTGGGTGATCAATTTTAATGTTATAGCAAATTTTTGATACTGTAGGCGGAAAAGTTATTTGAAGACAAGGAACACCGACGTCAACACATTGGATCACGGTTAAAAGTATTTTACGTTACACGGAGGGGACTATTTTGATTATGATATTGTCTTTCAACCTAGACCTTTATGCATTGAAGCCTCTTCGGACGTCAACTGTGTGGGTTGCCCTTCCCACAGACGGTCTATAGTTGGGTTTTGTATTTTCCTTGGCTTAAGTACAATATCATCGAGTGCCAAGAAGTAAAACACGGTTTCTCAATCGAGTCCGAAAATCGAATTGTCAAACCTCACGACGCAGCTAAACTTTTCTAGTTGCACTTCTTGTTTAAAGATTTAATGATTTTTCTTTCAACGGTCCCTCCTATTTGGTGTAACAACATTAATTCAACTGCATTAGCATCAAATCCTGTTTTCCAGGCTTGCACAAAGCATATTGAGGTTGCTTTTGTTAGAAATAGTTAATAATGTAAGATACTTGTAAAGTATCTCACATTGGAAAAGTTAAACGAAAATGTAAGAGTTTAAAAGGAGAAACACACCAAATTTTATAAATTTGGATAGTGAAAAGATTTGGAGGGTAACTACAAATATTTCAAATCAATAGGCTTTGATTAAGTTTTAAATAAAATAATATTTAAAGTCAAAAGTTGGGCACTTGCATAAATTTTAGTTGATTTTGATTATTTATATTACTATCTAAGTGGGGGATTGTTAAAAATAATTAGTAATGTAAGGTATCCCACATTGAAAAAGTTGAACGGGAGTATAAGAATTTAAAAAGAGAAACATACCAAATTTTATAAATTTGGATGGTGAGAAGATTTGGAGGAAAGTTCCAAATATTTCAAATCAATGAGCCTTCAAGATTTTAAATAAAATAATATTTAAAGTCAAAACATGGACACTTGGGCTTGAACTCTATAAACGATTAATTATTTTTGTATTAATTAATATCTCTTGGCCCAAGAGTTGTGTCTCTTCTTTACATCTCTCTGGCCCAAGAGTTGTGCCTGCCTTTTACATCTCTAAAGTATTATAAATACCTCTACAGATCCTTCAATACAAATATATACAAAATAACGTTTCTCAATTTTGTTCTTGAGAGAATTTTAGAGTGTTCTATCTAAAATTTTATTTGACTTTGTTAATTCTAGAAAAATTTGCCATAAACCCAATAAACCCAACAACAACATAGTGGGGACATAATTTCCTTAAGGAGAGTAAATACATGATCAAAAGCTTCTAATCTATTGAAGTTATTTTGCTAACAATTTTTCATTATGTTAATGAAAAAATCATTAACAAAGAACTCGGTGTTCAATATTATCACACCGTTAATCAAGTGGCGGACATATTCAGTAATGGCCTTTATTTCCAATCGTTTTCCGCTGCTTAGGGACAAGCTCATGATTCTTCCCAAGCCCATAAGGTTACATGGGCGTGATAAACCAAGTACTAGCAGATTCCCTCCCACTTCAATTTTGAATTGATGTCATATTCATAGATTGGTTGATCCTTTTATCACTTAACTTGCATTTAAATAACTTACCCAAAAAACCTTGCATTTAAAAAAGTTGGAAAAATGTGTTTGAAAAATAAAGTAATTGGCAGGGTGAGGTGCGGGTTAGATCACTCTTTTAAGACGATTTGTACTACTTTGTGAAAGATACACAATATAGAAGGTAGCAACACATCAACCCCAGATATAACAACTCAGCTTAATTGACTGTTATTTTACTCAGATTTGCACAATAGAATGAAACAAAAGTTTCACGAAACACCTTTGTATATTGTCCAAAGAAGATATGGAAGTGTATCTATTTATTATGAAATATCTAAATATATATACAGAAAAATATGACTGTTATTATTCTATAATTACTTCCATATTTAATCAAATAATAATTGTTAAAATTTAATATAAGTTGCTAAAATCAAATAATAATTGTTAAAATTTAATATAAATTTATATACCATTTTCAGATTATATAAGTTGCTTGTGAAAGATAACAGAATGGAGTGATACATCAGTCAGACCCACTGCAAACAAAAATGAGTTGGTTGAACAACTTAGGTTTGTAAGGAAATTCATTTAGGATCATTCAGCTACCAAATAAATAGGGATCGAGGTTGGGTTTGCACTTGCAAGCCAATTACCCCAAGCTTAAGCAATTCCAGGTTTAAATATAGCAGCTGCAATTAGATGTGAAAGCCTACTCAAAGAAAACAGTAAAAGGAAAGTACACAAGCGAGATTAGAGCCAGAGGGATGTAACATGTATTTTTTTTAAGCTTACCTAAGATTGGGCTTATGTCACCAAATAAGATAGGCATTTTAGAGTTCTCTTCGTTCAAACCTTGTCTTATATAGAATTGTGTTCTTTTGGGATTTCAAGGGAACATTTTTGTTGGATTTTCAACGAGATTACGAGGTGGTTCTCTTACATTTCGCTTTGTTCTTCTATGTGTTTTACTTTTTCTCTCTCTTTTCTAAGGATATCTTGAGTTTTACATTATACCTCTTATTTCCCTTTTCTTCCATAATATTCTTCTTCTTTAATAAAAAAAAGGTAGGCACTATAGTCTGTAAGGTCACTCCATTGTGTGTACAAAACAAACGGAAACACAAAGATATGCCCCTTTATGTTCCAGCATAACGCTTTCATGCACCTTTATATGAAAAGTACACGTGCATACATACAAGTGTATATTGCATATACATGGAACTAACCTAGCCTATATGGAGTGTCTATTTATGCCTATATAGATAAGCTTTCCCAACCTCGTAATTTCTTAGAATTCATTTAAAAAAATATTTGTACAATTTATGTCCACCATATAAATTCTAACCAACTTGCAATTTCTTTTGTCGTGTAGAACAATTTCCATTAAAACACAATGGGGAGGTGGGGGCTTTGCCTTTTTTTTTTGNACAAATGTATGCTGCAGTGCAAAAATTGCAAATGATCATACACGGACTTGGATACCATTTCAGATGCTTCATGCCTATCAGCAATTTGGATTTCATCCAAAAACACAACGGAGATCCCTTATGTCTAATACTTTTTAGAAAAGACAAGTTCATAATCCAGCAAAATCTCTCCCCTCTTCGAGTCTGGTGACCAACAAAATTTGCCACTCAATATTGAAAATGAAATCCACTATCTAATGAGTTCCTCATGCAAAGCATGCTAACAAATTAACAAGAGAACAGCAGCCCAATAAACGCACATGGGACATGCTCAAAACTCATTTAATTTACAGTAAGATCCATGGAGCATAGCCACTGCGTTACCTAATATTCTAAAATACACTATTCATTACCTAATTCATGTCTTATCTGGAATCCTTGGAGGTGTAGAATAATCATACTAGTCATAGAGTTAATGGTATCCTAATATCCATTATATATTGTAGTATTAGTCCTAGCAAAATCCACTAGCTATGAATGTAAGTGAATTTTTTTAGTTTTAACATACTTCAGTTGCGTCCTGAACCGGGTTACAATGCTCCAGTGGCATATTTTACTGACCAATTCTCCGAGCAATACAAGGAATCACAATAAAGGACTAACGAAATCCATCCGATCCAAACCTACATTGAGGAGGAGTTTCATTTTTCAACCAAAATCCTGTCTATTAGAGTAGTGTAGTGTAGCTTCGTGAAAAAATCCGTGTTCCTTCAAACACAGTCCAAGCACAAAAACAACGTTAATTGCAAAGTCCATCTGTTTGTTCTTTCTGAAACAAATTAACACGGGAAAAGAATAAGGAAAGGCATACCAAAATTCCATGTAGTCATTTTTACCCATTCTAAGCACTAGAACGCTTTTTCCATAATTGAAGAAAATCTAACTTATTCACACACGTATATGATCTCAATGTCAGTAAACTTGTGGAAAGGGCAGGAAAAACATACTGAAATGAGAAAATATTTACACTTAAAGGAGGGTGGGGGGTGAAATAGAACAAAAGAAGGAAAACGCATAGATATATAATAGATATTAAAAAACTCACAGTTGTGTTTGATGCGGATTTGGTTGTTGTTGAACTGCACTCCAAGATCATCATCAGCCTTCTGCTTCAAGTTGATGACATCTGCCTCTGTTTCCGCGATTCCCTCAAGCTCTGCCTGCCCCTTTAGTACATCATGAAGTCGATGATTAATGCAAAATCAAAACTCATGTTTGTGATTGTGAGGTACAGTGACCAGACCTTCTCATTAATAGAGGTTGAGACATGGAAGGTCCCTTTTTTATGTCCAGCTTCCTAAACTGTCTGTCCTCAACTCCCTCTCTTTCTGCAGCTGCTCCTGTAGTCTTGCAACCTGCAAAAAAGATTAACAGCTTTTGTTAATTGGGTCTTTGTTGTCAATATGTTTTTACGTTGTCAAAACCAGTAAAATCTTGCTCCGTTATAGGTGCCAACCTCAAAACACAAGACTGATGAATCCAAATATTCCCATATTCGTTAGTGTCCTGATTCATGTCTTCCAGGTCGTCCCCACTCTTCTTCCTCCTTTCCTGAATTACTCTCAGAATTTGTTAACATTTTCTTTACAGTTGAAACTAATCTAAGTAACATGATGTCCATCACCAAGGTACTTATAAAATCTTATGCTATTGCCATATATTCTTGCTACTCAAATAGGTTGGACAAGTTGAGTAAGCAACCCAAGATATGAAACCTTTAACCCAGGTCCAATCCAACTCAAGCACATCAACATGAGCAACTCTAACCCAAGCCCAACTCATGATTAAATTTTTGAATTCAAGTTGATCTCGAGTGAAAATGAATTTTTTATTAATCAAAATTCAATTTGAACAGCAAATAGGATTTAGTTTTGAGTCCAACACCGAAATTGAACTTAATTCTATAACTTCCATTAATAAAACTAAATAGAAACAGAAAAATAAAATGCATATATGCAATAGACTTAAAACATCAATAACAATATATACATATATACATGTCGATTTATAATTTATAATTTTATTTTCAAATTTGAAGTCGATCCCAATTTTTTAAATTCGGGTTAGATTAGAGCTAAACCGATCAATTCAAAGTACTAACCTGAGAAGGTTGGAGGAACAAGGGTATCTTCCTTCTGGTTTGCCGACCCCACCACCATTAATATTTGGATAAATTATATTGACACTCCGTAATATTTGGCTTTATTATACAAACACTCCCTCATATTTTCAAAATTATACTGAGACCCTACAAAATGAACGTCGTTAACTGCCAAACAAAAAAAACCATTTTACCCTCATTAACTACCCTTTAAGACCTAAGATCCAAGACCCCTCCCCTAAAAGCTGCCCCCCCACCCCCACCACACACACTCTTTCTCTTTCTCATGACGAATCAAAGTCCCCAGCATCTCCATCTCCATTTCTCCCTCTCGCTCACTCTAACTCTCTCTTTCAAGGGGAAGAACTAACCTAAAATTATCCGTCTTCTCTCTTGATCACTGCAACAGCCTTCAGTAGAAGAACCAATTAGCGCAAAATCACCGAGAATCAAAAGGGTTGAAAGCTTAAAAAATCTGAGATATCAAAAGAACAACAATGGTTTTTGAAACCCTAAGTCTCCTCTCTTCGCCTCTCAAATTTGAGGTGATGGTGGGTGATTTTGAAACCCTAACTCCCTCTCTTTTTCTTGCAGTTGAGGCATTGTTATGGTGACGGTGGTGGTGGTGATGATAGGCATTTCTATTGTTGTGGTGGTGATAGGCGTTTCTATTGTTGTGGTGATAGTGATTTGTTGGTGCGTGTTACTGAGGTAGCGGCGATGCAATAGTGGCGATGTTATGGAGGAGAAGGGTCATGTACATAGATGGTTGATGATGGGTTTTGGCTAAGTGGTGGTTTCAGTGGTGAAGGCGGAGGTGGCTTCTATGGGGTTGTAGTTTCTGTTCGTCTCTGTTTCTGTCTATCTCTTTCTCTATGTGCTGGTGGTGTTTAGATGTGTTGGATGGCTGATGCACTATTGCGGTGGTTAGGTTTAGGCAATAGTGATGGTGGCGGAACCGGTGGTGACGGTGGTAAGAGTAAAAATTTATGTAATTAGATAAATAATAAACAAAAATAAATTTAATATGAAATAATTGGATTAGGTAATTATTAATATTTTAAAAAAATAATTATTTTTTAAATTGTACTAATAGTACCCAATATTATTTAATAAACAAAAATAATAATTTTTATTTATTAATATAATGTATTTAGAAATTAAACATATAAGTGTTATAGAGATTAAAAAAATAAATGAGAAGTTGGATAAATTTGGAAAGTATTTTTGGTATTTTGAGAATTATGATTACAAACCTCAACTTTGATTGTTAACAAATTTAATGTTCGTTAGTTGAAGGGGACGTGACTGTTACAAGTTTTAAATGTTAAGGAAGTTCAGTGTTAATTTTATAATATGAGGGGGTGTTTGTATAATAAAATTAAATATCGTGGAGTGTGAATGTAATTTCCCCTTAATATTTTCAGTCAAAACTCAGGGCTTAGAATTTTCTCATACTGCCAACTAGAACTGGTCCAGTCAAATTAGGGTTAGGGCATTGCTAATTGGACCTTCTCCAACCGCGTTTTCTCTCCTGTACGCCTCTGATTTCCTTCTTTCCTATTTCCTCTATTTTCCTCCTCCTATAAATTCAAATTCTCATATGTCTCAAAGAGCCATAGCACCACACGCTTCCTCCATAGCTTTTGCTCTCCGTTCTACTCTACTGCTCTCCAGTGAAATAAACCCTAATTCTTACCGGTCTTCCTAACCATTCATTCATTCATTCATATACTTATTCTGACACCCATTGTTTCCAAACTCCATTAATACTTCTCTGATTCCGTTTGTTTCACTAAAAAAAAAAACCCAATTTCATAACTCCATAAGTTTTCTCAGTCGCTACACGAAGAATCAATTANTAGTTGTGGCATTGTTATGGTGACGGTGGTGGTGGTGATAGGCGTTTCTATTGTTGTGGTGGTAGTGATTTGTTGGTGCGTGTTACTGAGGTAGCGGCGATGCAATAGTGGCGATGTTATGGAGGAGAAGGGTCATGTACATAGATGGTTGATGATGGGTTTTGGCTAAGTGGTGGTTTCAGTGGTGAAGGCGGAGGTGGCTTCTATGGGGTTGTGGTTTCTGTTCGTCTCTATTTCTGTCTATCTCTTTCTTTATGTGCTGGTGGTGTTTAGATGTGTTGGATGGCTGATGCACTATTGCGGTGGTTAGGTTTAGGCAATAATGATGGTGGCGGAACTGGTGGTGACGGTGGTAAGAGTAAAAATTTATGTAATTAGATAAATAATAAACAAAAATAAATTTAATATAAAATAATTGGATTAGGTAATTATTAATGTTTTAAAAAAATGATTATTTTTTAAATTGTACTAATAGTACCCAATATTATTTAATAAACAAAAAATAATAATTTTTATTTATTAATATAATATATTTAGAAATTAAACATATAAGTGTTATAGAGATTAAAAAAATAAATGAGAAGTTGGATAAATTTGGAAAGTATTTTTGGTATTTTGAGAATTATGATTACAAACCTCAACTTTGATTGTTAACAAATTTAATGTTCGTTAGTTGAAGGGGACGTGACTGTTATAAATTTTAAATGTTAAGGAAGTTCAATGTTAATTTTATAATATGAGGAGGTGTTTGTATAATAAAATTAAATATCTTGGAGTGTGAATGTAATTTCCTCTTAATATTCTCAGTCAAAACTCAGGGCTTAGAATTTTCTCATACTGCCAACTAGAACTGGTCCAGTCAAATTAGGGTTAGGGCATTGCTAATTGGACCTTCTCCAACCGCGTTTTCTCTCCTGTACGCCTCTGATTTCCTTCTTTCCTATTTCCTCTATTTTCCTCCTCCTATAAATTCAAATTCTCATATGTCTCAAAGACCCATAGCACCACACGCTTCCTCCATAGCTTTTGCTCTCCGTTCTACTCTACTGCTCTCCAGTGAAATAAACCCTAATTCTTACCGGTCTTCCTAACCATTCATTCATTCATTCATATACTTATTCTGACACCCATTGTTTCCAAACTCCATTAATACTTCTCTGATTCCGTTTGTTTCACTAAAAAAAAAAACCCAATTTCATAACTCCATAAGTTTTCTCAGTCGCTACACGAAGAATCAATTATGGGTCTGAAAGGCTTCGTCGAGGGAGGTATTGCTTCAGTAGTAGCAGGCTGTTCGACCCATCCTCTGGACCTTATCAAGGTCAGAATGCAGCTTCAGGGTGAAAACCATGTTCCGAACCCGAACCCCCAAGTGCTACGTCCAGCTTTTGCTTTCAACAGCCTAGCAATGGCTCAAGAAACCCTTCACATTCCTGCACCAGCACCACCTAGAGTGGGACCCATTTCGGTTGGGATAAACATTTTTCAATCTGAAGGTGCTTCCGCCTTGTTCTCCGGTATCTCCGCCACCGTGCTCCGCCAGACTTTGTACTCCACCACCAGAATGGGCTTGTACGAGGTTTTTAAGCAGAAATGGTCCGACCCGGATTCGGGAAAATTTCCACTTGGCCGGAAAATAACAGCCGGATTGCTAGCCGGAGGCATCGGCGCAGCTGTTGGCAACCCTGCCGACGTGGCAATGGTCCGAATGCAAGCCGATGGTCGGCTTCCAATTTCTCAGCGCCGCAACTATAAAGGAGTGGTTGATGCAATTACACAGATGTCCAAGCAGGAAGGGATCACTAGCCTGTGGCGCGGTTCAACCCTTACTGTGAACCGCGCTATGATTGTCACGGCATCACAACTTGCATCATATGATCAGATCAAGGAAGCAATATTGGACCATGGCGTGATGAACGATGGTCTTGGGACTCACGTGACAGCTAGCTTTGCCGCGGGTTTTGTGGCCTCAGTGGCGTCAAACCCTATTGATGTGATCAAAACTCGGGTGATGAACATGAAGGTGGAGCCAGGGATGGCTCCACAATATACTGGGGCACTTGATTGTGCACTCAAGACAGTGAGAGCTGAAGGACCTTTGGCACTCTACAAGGGGTTCATTCCTACTATTTCTAGGCAGGGCCCATTTACTGTGGTGTTATTTGTGACCCTTGAACAAGTTAGAAAGATTTTGAAGGAGTTTTAAAAATAAGTGAGAACTTGATTTGATAATGACGACAAGGAATTGTTACAGAGATTATGTATGGTTATTGGATTATTGAGGTTGAGGGCTTTTTGCCAAGGCATTTTGTCATGAAATATTAAGCTGATATAAGATAGAAATATTTCAAATTTAAAAATGTCATGCAAATTTTTATGAATATTATCTTTGATTTGTAGCAACAATTGAATGTTGCACCTCATTCCCACATGTATACAATTTTTATTTTATTTTTTTAAAGATTAGGGATGTCTGAACTAATGTATACGTATCTCGACTAATGTCTTTCTACGTCTGGTCAAAAGCAGACTATTTACATCAAGACTAAGACATGGTCTGACTCTAAGAAATTAATAAGATTCAAATTTACGATATCTTAATTTGTAACTAATTAATGTTATCACTTGGGCTATCTCTTGTACACGTGACACAAACCTGAACTACCAAACCAATATATTTGAGTGTGGTCAGCACACTCCAAGAAATAAATAAATTGAGTAGTCAAATTGTTATTGTACCGTGACATTGTCACCATTTCCAGATTGGTCAAAAGGAAACATAAAGATTATTTTCACCTTGAAGGGTTCAAACAAATCGTAAAAATCTCCCAGCTGAGCAGTATTGTATTATTGCCCAGCAAAAAGGTTGTCTGTAAGGCAAAATTCAAGTACATCCGGATTCTAGTAATGCACCTATCGGACAACATGTTGAGTCAAAAATGTGAAGGAATAAAAAAACAAAAACAAAACAAAACAAAACAAAAATCAATACATCATGAACAAACGAAGTCTCAATAGATACGATCTCCCAGTTCTTTTTTATATGAACTCTGTTTTTTTTTCATCTGTTTTCATAATTATGTGTTCAACCTCCAATGGAGACTTTAAAGTTTAAAGTGACATCAAGCTTCAACAGGCTTGTATTAGGTCAACAAGCAGTATAATTAGACGAGCAAAACCCAACTAACCAATTTGA